CACAATAAAAGCAAAGAGAATTGTAGGTATTAAGTGTCATCAATTCACGTCTATTTTAAGACCTATATTTATTCCACTAATTGTGCAATGCATTCAAGATTAGACTCACAATCTCCCTCGTAATCTTGATTTAGTTCGAAGTTGTTTACGTCAAGCAGCTCTCGCATTTTCGCGAATTTGACTCTTGATAGAGCCTTTGTTAGAATATTCACACGTTGCTCTCCGATGCTTATGAATTCCATGACGATCTGTTGATTCTCGACACACCAAATAAAGTGGAAGTTGAATTCCATGACGATCTGTTGATTCTCGACACACCGAATAAAGTGGAAGTGAGTGTCGATGTGCTTGCTGTGTCCATGAAACATCGGGTTCTTTATCAATGTTATTGTAGATTTGTTGTCGACGTATAGAGTTACTGGTTTTGGCTGGCTTCGGGTCACTTCGCTCAACAAACTTCTCAATCCTAATGCTTGGCATGATGCAACAGTGGCTGCCATGAACTCTGCCTCACAGGATGATAGAGCAACAATTCGCTGCTTCTGAAATTGCCAAGTGATTAGGTTCCCATTGAGGTAAAACACCATCCCTCCGGTGCTTTTCCTGCCGTCTATATCATCGACGAGATCTGTCAGTAAAACCGACGAGTTCTTCAGCTCCTTGTCCTCTTTTGTACTGAATCCTGTAGCTCATTGTTCCCTTCACGTAACGAAGAAGATGCTTCACGACCTGCTGGTGTAAAGTGGTAGGTTGCTCTATGTAACGACTCACCATGCCAACTGCGTGTCCTGTAGCTCATTGTTCCCTTCACGTAACGAAGAATATGCTTCACGACCTGCTAGTGTAAAGTGGTAGGTTGCTCTATGTAACGACTCACCATGCCAATCTGAGCTGCAACTTTGCTGCCATTGGATATGTGCTCGGGTTGCAGTCTACCATCTCAAACTGCTCTAACACCTTCTTTGCGTATGTCGATTGCTTCACTATGCTTCCATTGGATATGTGCTCGGGTTGCAGTCTACCATCTCAAACTACTCTAACACCTTCTTTGAGTATGTCGATTGCTTCACTGTGATGCGGTCTTTCTTTTGGTCTACCTCGATATCGAGGTAGTATGAGAGTATCCTAAGATCACTCATCTTGAACTCCTTCATCATTTGCTTCTTGAATATCTCAACACCATCAATGCTGGATCCCGTTACGATCAAATCGTTAACGTATGCGCCGACGATGAGTACTTCTGTTCCGTGATTCCTTGTGTACATAACCTGCTCTTAAGGACACTTCATGAAGTCTAGACTCATTATTCTCTTGTTAAGACAAGTGTTCCACGCCCTTGGTGCTTGGCGTAGTCCGTAGAGAGCTTTGGACAGTTTGTACACCTTGTGCTCTTCATTCTTGACAATGAATCCTTCAGGTTGGGTGACGTAGACTTCTTCTTCAATATCTCCATTGAGAAACGCCGACTTGACATCCAAGTGGTGGATCTCCCACCCACGATGAACTGCGAGGGAAAGAATTAACATGACAATATCGAGTCTTGCCACCGGTGCGAAGGATTCCTCGAAGTCAACTCCTTGCTTCTACACGTAACCTTTCACCACCAATCTTGTTTTGTGCTTGAGGATGTTGCCTTCGCTGTTTCTTTTCAACTTGAACACCCATTTCAAGCCGATGAGCTTGTGACCGGGTGGCAAGTCGGTGAGCTCCCACGTCTTGTTCTTCTCGATGGACTCGAGCTCTTTCTGCATGGCCTTATTCCGCTCGGTTGCCGCCTCGTGATATGTTGTTGACTCGTCAGTAGTGAGTAACAACAATTCATCAAGATCCATTTCTACTAGTGGTGCTTCTGCATAGACCTCGACAAGTGAACATAATTTCTTGGGAGCATCTTTGGTTGTAGATCTTCCCGAGCTCTCTTGTCGTCGTTGAGAGTTCGGCGTGGCCACTGGTGTCATTGGCGAGGTTGAGCCCGCTACTTCTCCGTCATCTTGTAAAATTTTGAACTCCATAGAATTTTGTACGAGCTCGTCATCATCATTGCACCATTCACACTTCTTCTCCTTTTCAAACACTGCGTCTCTGCTTACAAGAAATTTTCTGCGTGGTGGATCGAGAAATCTGTGCGCCTTACTTCTGACTTTGACGCCAAGATACACCATTGCTTGACTTCGATCATCGAGCTTCTTGAGATGTGGACTTACAACCTTCACATGTGCGGTACATCCAAACACTCTCAAGTGCTTCAAATGAGGTCGCTTGCCGAACCATGCTTGGTAAGAAGTACAATCTCCTAGCACATTTGTTGTCAAGCGATTCAAGAGATACACCGCATGTCGTACAGCTTCTCCCCAGAGGTTTGTCGGGACTTGCATGCTTTTAAGCAAGCTTCTCCGGGGCCCATCACGGTGCAAATTCTCCTCTCTACCACACCATTTTGTTGAGGTGTGTACGATGTCGTGAGGTGACGCTCGACTCCCTCTTCTTTGCAGAATTTCACAAAATTTGTTGAGGTGTGTACGATGTCGTGAGGTGACGCTTGACTCCCTCTTCTTTGCAGAATTTCACAAACTTCTGGGAAGTGAACTCGCTGGAAGTGAACTCGCCACCTCGATCAGTTCTCAAAGTTTTCAACTTGTACTCCGACGTGTTCTCCACGAGCTTCTTGAACTTCTTGAATGTTTCAAAAGCTTCCCCTTTTCCTTTAAGCATGTACATCCACATCCAACGATTAAAATGATCAACAAGTAAAAATAAATACTTGTTACCAGCGAGTGATGTAGGGGTGATCAGACAACACAAATTTGCGTGCACAAGTTGTAGAGGGTGCTCGGCTCGGAAGTTGGCTTGGGCAGGAAACATCAGTCTTGTTTGCTTTGAAATCATGCAACTCTCACACACTTGGTTGGGGTGTGTGACCTTAGGCAGCACTATGGCCATCTTCTTCTCCCCCATCATTTTGAGCGCATAAAAGTTTACATGCCCAAGTCTCGCTTGCCATAACCTAGCCAGATCTGCTAGTGATGCTAATAGAGAAGCGGGTTGACTTGTCTTGAGAGAAATCTTGTACAACCGATTTGACGATTTTTCCACCTTCATCAACAGGGCGCCATTTCGGTCGAACATCTTCAAGTACGAGCCAACTAAGGTGATCGTGTTGCCTTCTTCTGTCATCTGACTGAGACTTATGATATTACTTTTTAATTTTGGAATGTAATATACCTCAGTCATATAACGTTGATCGTCATTTTTGCATACAAACAGGATGGTTCCTCTACCATTGATCTCGATGAGTGAGCCGTCTCAGAACTTCACATTTTTGGTGATTTTCTCGTCGAGTTGATTGAACTTCTCTCAATGTTATGCCTCAGTCATTAGACATTGATCGCCATTTTTGCATACAAACAGGATGGTTCCTCTACCCTTGATCTCGATGAGTGAGCCGTCTCTGAACTTCACATTTCTGGTGATTTTCTCGTTGAGTTGATTGAACTTCTCTCAATGGCTTGTCATGTGGTTGCTTGCTCCATTGTCAAGAAACCATACATCAGTGTGATTATACTCCTCGCCACTTGTGAGGAGGTTCGCCCTGACTTTTTCTTCATTGAGCAACACCCCCTCTGGTTCCTCCTTGGACGATTCTTGCGTGAACTCTTCGAGGTTTGTCTC